TTACCTCTTGGTAAAGTTTACAAATAATACATTTATAAAGTTATATCGAACAGTGATCATCAATTACATATAATGTATACAGTTATATCGAACAGTGATCATCAATATACAAAGTTATGTCGAACAGTGATCACCATAGTGACACCTGTCGTTTTAGTATATATTTACTAATATATTTCTGTTGCACTAATGGATTAAGATAATTTGACGAAAGTGAAATTCAGAATGTCTAAAAGCAATTTCCTGAAGAATATGTAAATAGTCTTCAGATCTACCCATGTGGTCCCGAGTTTAACATATGTTGTTGACATAATCATTAGTTCTTCACTGACGTGAGTGACATATATAGTCCGGGAGCTAGGTGGGTTTTGTTCAACATGGAAGGTGCGGAAGGTTTGGTATGCTAGTGGTGTATGGCTGGGTTAGGAGACCCCAGAAACCCAATTCTTAAGTTGCGCCAGCGGTGGGTGTGGTAGGAGGAGCCACCCATAGTACCCCCCAAAATGGGTTTATTCAACATGGAAGGTGCAAGTTCCACTTCAATGGCATTTGATAGAGGAATGTGCCCTGAATTCGGAAATATAACTTAAGAATGGGATTTTTGGTGGAAAGGCCACTTAAGAAGAGGTCAAAGGTCACTAATTAGCAATTTTTCGATTTTACTGAAAACGATCTTTCCATTATCTCGTGATCAATTCTAAGTACATTGCACAAAACTACATGGACAATTTGATAGTGCTAGGAGCAAAGATATGAGAAATAAAATAAATGAAGTTTTAGTTAAAAGTATGACATAATCTCAAAAATAACGGAAATATCACCTGACCCCCAACGGTAATTAAAATTTTAATCAACATGGAAGGTGCAAGTGAGAAACCAAGCCTAAATTGTACGTAATGATATCAGAAATCAGTATCATCAACTTAAGAATGAAATTTCTGGTGGTCAGTGTACTTAAAGAAGAGAAAAATGCTGGTTTGCACCGAATGACCCCTAATTAGAAATTTAATTAACATGAAAGGTGCGACATTGGAACAAGGTGTAAAATGTAGGGAATGATCATAGGATTCACAACCACTAACATAAGAATCAATATTTTGGTGGTAAATGAACTTAAGAACAGCAGATGTGACCAATAACCATAAAAAGTCAGTGACAAGCAGTGCAATATGCCCACAATGCTATGTTTCCTCTTGATCTCTGATAGTAACACTAATGATATATTAATTACCGCCCACTTCCTTCATACTAAGAATCATTTAAAACATAGATCTATGTCATGTTATTGCAGATATCAATCAAGACCCAATCAACCAGAACCTAACTTAGGAGAGGCAACCATTTCGATCAAATTAAGCATCATCAGATTCCTCATTCCTCAATGAATTCCTCAACCAATGACTCCCATAGGTCAGGACCATTAAACGATAAGATTTCATACTGTCTTTCCTTAAACTCCCAACCATCTTCTGCCGATGGATGCTGGTTAATTCCTGATTTATCAGCGTTTCCCTATATCTTTGCGACCAAAAATGCCCTTGTCATCTGTAGTGACACTTCGGTTTGTCCAGAAGATTTGAACATCTTGCCTTAGACCCATTACGTCTTCTCAAACACGGTGTAGCGATGCCTGTTGAGTGAGGAGATTGCTTGTCGCTTAGCCCCATACATCTGCACCTTGAATGATATCGCTACATCGTGTTTGAGAAGACGCAATGGGCCAAAGGCAAGATTGTTACATAACAGATGTTACAGACGCTTCCTACCATCTTGACACGCGACAGTGATTTTAAACCTGTCTGCTATCGACACCCCTGGAGGTCTTGGTGACATTCCTTATGTTATTATGTAATCTTAACTTGTTGTTGGCCTGTCTTATTTAAACTTTCTTTGTCTGATAGGCATGTGTTGGGTGTTAGACCTGATATGATACATTAGCCAGGTGTCTTATAAGATCCATTTTCTTGAAGGGTTTATAAAACCAGAATGGAAACGACATAGTCAGTTAGGTCCGGACAGGACACAAGACCGGAGGTCCTGGGCGCCTTTGGCGCGAGACAAGACGGAACGAGGGAGAGCGTCTTGGAGTCGGCACACTCGTGCCTAGCCAAACTAGGACATGGCTCCCTCAATACAAGTTAGTTCTGTGTGTCCTTAACATTACGATGTTTGTACGTGATATGTAAGAAGCAGAGAATAAAAGTATTATAAGATGTTAAACTAGTCTTGTCATCTGAACCTGATATAAAGACCCAATACTGTCACAAGATGTAAAAATCGTCTGGACAAACTAAAGGGCATCGATGATAGCAGGAGTCCTCCTTGCGAATCAGAAGTGTCACTACAAATCAAAAGGGGCATCTTTTGTCGCCGAGATTTCGAGAAGCGCTGATAAATCAGGAATTACCCAGCACCCATCGCCAGAAGATAGTTGAGAAAAGGACAGAATGAAATCATTCGTTTTAATGGTCCTGAACTCCGGGAGTCATTGGTTGAAGAGGGCATTGAGCAATCTGATCAGGATACATCTGATGATGACGTTGACACTGCTTCCTCTGATGAAGACAGTTGCCTTTCCTAAGTTAGGTTCTGGTTGATTGGGTCTTGATTGATATCTGCAATAACATGACATAGATCTATGTTTTAAATGACTCTTAGTATGGAGGAAGTGGGCGGTAATTAATGTATCACTGTTACTATCAGAGATCAAAGGAAACAGCATTGTGGGCATAATGCCATGTTTGTCACTGATTTTTAAAGGTTATTGGTCACATTCGTAAGTTAGTGGTTGTGATGATCAGTCCCTATATTTTACACCTTGTTCCAATCTCGCACCTTTCATGTTAATTAAATTTCTAATTAGGGGACATTCAGTGCAAACCAGCATTATTCTCTTCTAAGTACACTGACCACCAGAAATTTCATTCTTAAGTTGATGATACTGATTTCTGATATCATTCCGTACAATTTAGGCTTGGTTTCTCACTTGCACCTTCCATGCTGATTAAAATTTTAATTACCGATGGGGGTCGAGTGATATTTTCGTTATTTTTGAGATTATGTCATACTTTTGTCATAACTAAAACTTCATTTATTTTATGTCTTATATTTTTGCTCCTAGCACTATCAAATTGTCCATGTAGTTTTGTGTAATATACTTGGAATAGATCACGAGATAATGGAAAAATCGTTTTCAGTAAAATCGAAAAATTGCTAATTAGTGACCTTTGACCTCTTCTTAAGTGGCCTTTCCACCAAAAATCCCATTCTTAAGTTATATTTCCTAATTCAGGGCACATTCCTCTATCAAATGTCATTGAAGTGGAACTTGCACCTTCCATGTTGAATAAACCCATTTTGGGGGGTACTATGGGTGGCTCCTCCTACCACACCCACCACTGACGCAACTTAAGAATTGGGTTTCTGGGGTCTCCTAACGCAGCCATACACCACTAGCATGTCAAACCTTCCACACCTTCCATGTTGAACAAAACCTACCTAGCTCCCGGACTAATACTACTCTACGCTCATTAAATTTTATAGTTCTAGTTTATATTTTAGATGTACCCATTGTCAACGTTTCCTTGATAAACCCTTAATTGGCAAAATGGTTGCATTGCTAACATTGCTAAAAAGTTGAGACGATTGGTTATGAAATGTGCAATACTTCCCAGACAACAGTTATTGTCCTAAATAACGGAATGCCACAAAACATCTTATTATTCCCGCTAATGGTTTATATTATGTGAATCATATTTACGTGTTTATCCAGTACTGGAGAAATCCATCCAGACAATTAGGGCTATCTAGTGATTATTGTGCTAAGTCATTAATAATTACTGGAATCAACCGTCTAATTACAATATTTGATACCATTTCCCCCACTTAAAGTTTGTAACCGCATATATGACCATGCGTATATTTTAATGATAACATTAGCTGCATTTGTTAATGTCCTATGACTGCGTTAGAGAGAGTCTTATTAAATATGATAATGTCCTATGACTGCGTTAGAGAGAGTCTAATTAAATATGATAATGTCCTATGACCATGTGTTATAGGTTGCGTATTCGGGGCGTCTGAATTTAATAATATCCTACAACTATGTGTTATCTAATAATGTCAACAGTAGCAAGGGTGCGAAACGGGGCGTCTAAATTTAATAATGTCCTATGACTACGTTACAGAGAGTCTAAATTTGATAATGTCCTTTGACTGAGTTTAAATTTGATAATGTCCCATGGCCAGCATACTCCTCGCAGTGTTACGTTTGATTAGACCTAATCCCACACCCACTACTGTAAAGAAGGCAAATTCTTGTTCTAAATTATGACTGGTCAATAGTCCGATTAACAACCAATAGCTTACTGCGTAACAATACCAAACAGAGCTCTAAATTGGACCAAATATGTTTACATAACGTTACGTCATGACTCACGATTTTATTATGCCCAATTAACCAGTGCTTAGCAGAATATTCCAGAAAAACTAATTGTGTGACAAATGAGGCTATCAGTACGGATATAATGTAAACAATACTGTTTTGAGTTGAACAACACTTTCACCGTTTTTAATACCGTAAATCACTGTCCAAAGTTTTAGGGAAGGCACTTGATTAAAAGAAGGGCTGTCATGTTGCTGTGCTTGGGGATAGATTTGATTGGACGGGAAGAATAGACACACACCCTCAAAAGCGCAAGTATCAGAAACTAATCCAGCAATGGCCAGAGAGGGATTTCTCGGGCCATTGCTTCAGGAATATGCATGGTCATGTGCTATATTATAATGTCAACAGTAGCAATGGTGCGTTGACAGCAACGTGATTTCTGAATCTGAACTTGATAGACTTGTGAATGGTGTAAGAATGTATCGGTGGAGAAGAAAGGAGAGTCTCAAGAACGTATAAAACGACATTTATACCCGTTCTCAAGCACTGCTGTATAATTAATATGTGTTATTTACCAAGTAGTATTTATATCTCATTATTTGTCATATTTCAGGCACTCTGGATCCAGTAATAGCAGGTTCTGTGTTTGGTTGTAGCGCATTAGTGTTGGCTATCCTGTTAACAGCTGCCTGGTATGTTTGTACGAGAAAACTCAACAGAAATAAAGCATTAGTGGCTGGGTTGAATCAATGTGGAGAAAAGGGATTTGGTCAAAATGTAAGAATAAGTCAAAGTACGCCTGATCTGGCTAATGAATCCTCGCCAAAGCACATTGCCTCGGAAACACCAACCAGACGTGGCATATTTCAAATCAGTTCCCGCCAATGGACTCTTCCTACAGTGTCACCACGTCATATGAACTTTCAGCGCATGCTGTCGCATAAAATAGACTTGTCAAATATAGAGTTTTCTGTTCAGAGTATAAAACATAAAGAGCAACCAGAACTGGGCTCAATTAAACCAGAATTATACAAACAAGCATCCATAGACAGTCTCAGATCAGAGCACACGCCTTGTGGAAAACTACTTTTTAGTTTGACATATTCACAAGAAGAGGGGAATTTATACGTTGACATACACCGTGCTGAAAATTTGCCAGCTAAAGATTTTTCTGGTACCTCGGATCCCTATGTTAAAGTTTATCTTCTGCCGGACAGAAAGACAAAATTTCAAACTAAGGTTCACAGAAAAACACTAAACCCCGAATTTGAGGAAACTTTTGTTTTTAATTTACCGTATGAAAGTTTACCTACAAGAACCTTACAGTTTAATGTGTACGATTTTGATCGGTTTTCACGCCACGATATTATTGGTGCTGTAATTGTGAAAGACATCTTAGGTGAAGGCAGTCTTGGCAAAGAAACATTTTTTGTGAGAGACATATACGTCACAAACCAGGTAAAGTATATTCAATACATTATTTCTGCATGTATTTAAGTTGCTTTATTTCTTTAGATCTTTTAATGGATCTAAATATAGTTTTATCCTTAAGAAATCCAATCTTTTTTTATTATATTGGAGTAAAGAATTAACACGAAGTTAATATTTCACAAAACAGCCGAGGACTGCGTCATGTTTACCATTAAAGAGATTGATTATAATGTCAATATATCATTATATCACTTTCTAGACATCACCAATTAATAATATTTAATATCATGTAGTTATTTTAATGATAGCTCGTGTATTGTTTTATTATATAATATCCCATGGTCATAATGAGACTGTATATATAAATTGTGAACGATACTACTAAGGTAGCGAAGCTTCATGGGAAATAGACCTAATTTTCTTGGCATCTTTAGGGATTTGTTACATATTATGACTTCAATTATTGGTCTTTAGTACGGCAATCAAATGATGTGTTGGGGATATAACGCAATTTATAAGCCGACTACGCCGTATATTGCTTTCGCAAATTTCCAATCATTACTGTAATTATTGTTAAAGGTTCTCGATAGCTGAACTAGTTCCGCTAAACTTGGTCTTCATATTACGTATAGTTCATGTTATAAAACAAAGGAGTCCAGTTGGGTTTTAATCCAAGCTTTTTAACTGAAGTTTGCATCAATCCGGGCAGTTGTTGCAATAGAAATGCCACCACGGTTTATGGTCGGTCTAGACGTATATTATCTGCAAATAAAAGGCCCAGTCCGAAATCCGTGTTCAAATGGGTCAAATTGGCAAAAATCCAAAATGGCCGCCAGTTTTGGCTGGCAAATACGAATTTTTATCCAATTATCATGATATGATCGATAATAGTATCAAAATATATCCTTTCGGGGTAGCTGAATCGATTACCATACATATTTTGGTGATTAGTTATACTACTGAGTTAATGTTGGGAAGTAATTCCCGATGGCGGTCCAGTTTGGAGGAAAAATTCGAATTTTACAAAATGACATTTGGTGTCAAAATATGCCTTTTGGGGGTAGCTTATTCCATTTTTGACACATATTCTCATCTTGATAATTATTTGGTTCCCCTGGGTCAAAGTATGAGAAAATCCCATTTGAGATTAGGGGTTTAAGAATATCCGAGTGTGCCTCAGACCTAATACGATGGCATTCATTAAGCCTCAACTTAATTTCACTTAGACTCTCTGGCCGACCAATGCTCACTGCGGAAGCAGCCTAGCAGGCATGACGAAATGGGCCACTCTCAGCTCACTGTGGACGCAGCGTTGTGGACGTGTAATATTTCGATCACCAACCTCGAAAATTAATTCAAGATGACCAAACCTATTTCGCAAAATGATTCAAATGATGAGACACGGGTGAATCCCGATATGCAGTGAACCATTTTATAATGAACGGGTATTGGAGGCCGACAATAATGAACCGATTAAGATCTATGGCCTTGACTAAGTTCAATAATGAGCGGGGATAGCAATTTCAATGGCAGAGTATTTAGGACATGACTAAGTTCGACAATGAGCATTTTTACACAGAGAGATGAACAATTTCATTGCTAGATGCTTTATAAAAATGTTAGATGTGTAAGTAATTAATGAGAATTATGGAAACAATTCTCACTGCTGATTTGTTAAATACAACTAGATTAATGTCCAGTCGTCATTTGCCCTGTCTTGGCAGGTCCACAAAATAGTTGTTGCGAGTTCTACTGCTTACCGCTGTAACAGCGATCACCGATTTTATTTGCTGGAATGGACCGTCTAAAATCTTTCCTACAGACCACGTAAAAGACAACGGCCCGCAAAAATGAATTTTGGCGCTACGGACCGTCTAGAACTCGATACAGACTCCTTCACTTCAATAGCTTTACAACATTGTGTAATATTAGTTTAATGATAGTGAAATTTGCGACATTCCACATGGTATTTTTCACCGAGCTCGAAATCACGACCATAATTTCTCAGCTTAGCCGCCTCATGAAAGCCTCCAATATCCGTTATCTTCGGAATGATGGTGGGCTATTCATTATCAAATGGTTTACGGAAGATCTGAGAAACAAGTGATACTGTATCCATTTGTCTCTGAACATTTGAATCGTTTTGTATGGCCAGCTTCCGCAGTGACCTGAGAGTGACACAATCGACATATCCGCTACGCTACTACCGCAGTGAGCTGGGAGACATTTCAAATGAAATTTAGTTGATGCAGGATGAATGTCATTGTATTAGTTAGGCCTAAGGTAGGAATATCATAACGGAAATATAAATCCCTGATTGAACTTCCTCCAATATATATACAGGGGAATGACTTAATCACTAAAATATGTACGAAAATGGATTCAGAATCACTACACCTACCAAATAATTGTTGTGTGTTTTAACTGGCCGTCCTAAAGATGATGATTCACTTCACATTCTGTTTGAATTGTCTGCAGTTTTTGACATGCTAGGTTTCTACTGCATGACTGAAGACTTAACGTTGGCATCACGGACACTGCATATATTCTGAAACAGCGTGAACTCATGTTTGGAGTACCACAAGAAACTGTATCAGGTCCAGTTCTGTTCACTATTTCCATTATATCAATTGGAGATAGAATTAGATTCCACAATGATAATTTCTATGTATCTTGCGTGACAGAATATGTTCTGAAACTGAATGATGGTAAAATTAGAATCTATTAAACATGCATTATGCAAGAACAAAATCTGCTTATTACAAGTCTTTCTTTAGGCCTGAAATGTTATCTAAATTAGACATTAATTAACTTATCCAGACCATAATAAACTCTCGATGTCAAGGCTAGCCTTCGATGTTGGCTGGATTAGATTCTTATATGGCGCTAACGGCTATTGATAATTAAATCAAGAAAAGTGGATAATCGAGACTATGCTGTTTATATTAATGATTTTAGTAATGATGACCGAGACTATGCAAAAATTTCACCCGCTTCTTTCTCGGCCCATAGTGGATCAATTTGACTGAAATTTTTAGCAAATTACCTTTACACTATTTAGTTTTTAACTATTATAACGAGAACTGCCATCTCTTTATCTTATCTCCCATAATGTATCTTTAACTGAATGAAACCTAAAATAATATTTTCAGCTTTATGGATAGGTGACAGTATTTTTCGTGAAATTTTATTTGCTAGAACCCTTGGCGTGGTCAGCGATTCTGCCCTTAGCCTGGCACAGGATGTATATGGTATATGCACAAATGACCTTTTTCGCATCAGAAATATCAAGCAAATATTAATAAAACAATAGCCCAGTGCTTCGGATGGGATTGGGGGACATACATTCGTTACATACAACCTGCTTTATGGAATACCGTAACATCTCTTCGTTATATTTCAATCTCCAAATAACCTCATGTTATCCAATTCCTTCCCTATTCTAATCGCCAGACTTCGTCTTTTAATATAATTATTCAGTAAATGAAGCTAAGTCAACAATCCCTCTTATTGTATTTCTTCTCGTTAAGAAATTGATTTAAAGGAATAACCGGATATTGATTATTGGTTGTATTTCATCGCATTAAAAACTGAAATAGGTTGGTGATGACCTACGGTGATGTTTTAAGCCAAGATTGGCGGATAATTCCCAACACGTTGGCGTTTGATTAGCTACTTGTATCGCCGTTCCTTTAAACATTTACTAGTCAACTATCATTTTACATAATATGATCGATGACATAATGTCATAACCTATCGAATAAAATTGCCATTGGCAGCCTTCCAGGTTACTACGGCCATAATATTGTAAGAAAACGAATAATGGTATCGTGATATGCTTAGCCATATTCACCTAACCGACGACCGACGTTCATAATATTTAATTGTAAAATTCATGGCAACGACACTTTCTAAATATTTGCAAATGCTAGTAATTAATGTCACATTACCGGTCACAGGATACATTGTGATCAGCTAGCTTATTCTATAGACGACTGCAGATTCCGGTTTCATCTCATTACGAGAACTGTCTTCGATTTGCTCTGATGGTTCAACAATTTGGAAGTAAGTGAATTACCAACATATTCCCAAATTTCAATTTGCTAGACGTCTAGAGGTTTTTGATTCGCTCCCTCGCTTTCCTTTCTAAACTGAAAAATAGTGGGATAGAGTCTCCCATCTAAGCAATGATGGTATAAAAACTCTTTTATTTCAAGTACAACATGAGTATATGTAAAAATGGATTTTAAAACAAGCTGAGCCTTATATAAATTGATCTTCATAACCATGTTGTGGGCCGAGTTTGCACCATTGTCGGCCCGGGTTGCAGGAAGCTTTCTAGTATATTTAAAACCAGAAATTTTGATTGGATTGTTATCTCCTGGAAACAACCACAATCCACCTTGATAATCATCGTTTACTTTCAAGCAAAAAAAGCTTCACACCGTGATTCTTAAAGCAAATTGCAACATCAAAGCAAACATTACATGAATGCTAAGTACACAAACAAAATCTTTGATTATTTCAAAGTAAATACCGCTATTCTCTCGATGGCAATCGATAAGTATTTAATTTCTGTGATGCAATTCTTTTAGGTAAAATGTCATTCAAACTATTCTGTTCAAATTGATATTTTGTTGGACGGAAATCTTGTTTTGGACAATTTAACACAATCTATTTCAAGTTCTTTAAGTTCCGTGCTTTAATTTCCCTGGAGTTTATACAAAATTACAGAATAGTCTGTATGAAATCGTTCTGTCATTAAAAGGATTACTCATAAAAAGTGTCTAATATTACGATCAGCAATAATTAGCGCTTGCGGCAATACTATGGTGGTTACCAACAAAATATATCAATATAAATGTTCACATCCTTCAACGTTGATATTACGCAAGACTTAATTTTCCATATTAACCTCATTAAAGATGATTTAGTTAAAATTGTCTGAGTAGGTGTCTTCTTTGTGACAATCTTCTATTTTATCAGTGACTAGCAATATGTCTAATGAAACCGTTTATATTCAACAG